TCTTCTCCCGACTTCTCTTTATCCTCTTCTTGCTCTTCCACCTCTTCTTCTTCAAATACAGTGCTCAGAGGTACTTTGCTAGGAAAAGTAGGGGCAAAAGTGTCAAGGTCTCCATCATTCATCCTGTTTATACTTGCAGGGTCCAAAGGGCCAAAGTTGAATTTCCTCCTATTTTTTGAGCACTGCTGTCTAAATATTTGAAATCATGGAATTGTCTACCCATATCCAATTCCATTGATTTATCCAAATCCATAGACTTCTCCATCCCTGGATCCTCATCAGCATAAATCTCTAACAGCCTTCTGGCAAAGTTGCTTCCTTCCATGTCATTAGTACCATTAACATCATCTCTCTCCCTTGAATTGCGTAGCTCTAATTCAATTTCCTCCAATCGCTGCCTTAGCATTTCCACTTCTTGTTGCTGCTGATATATCCTCTCTTCCATCTTCCTCCTCTCCAATTCAACAAAATCATTCGCCATTTTCTCACATTCTTGTATTTTTCTTCTCTAATTCGCATTTCAGCATCTGGGTTCGTTCATTCACCTTTAAATTGATCTCTTCTTCCAATCCCCTTTCTTCTGCTGACGACAGTTTGGTCCTCAGAGCGGAAATTTCTTCTTCTTTCTTCATAAGTTCTTTGTGGGCTTCATTCCGCTCTTTCTCTCTCAGCTTGTTTTCCATTTGCAGCTTGAAAATGAACTGGTCCATTGCAGCAATCCTAGATCCTAAAATAACAGCTGATGAACCATCTTCAGTGCCATTCATGTCCTTGACTGGTGTGTGAGGACCACGGATAATGCATTTTGCTTTAGCTCCATATTCCAGAGTAGAGATTGTCTTGTGCATCTCCTTGGGGTCTGGGCTAGCGCACAATATCATCAAAATTTTGGACTTGTCATCCTCAAATGAATCCTAAGAGATAAGAGAGGAGAAAAAAAATACAAAAGAAGAAAAAATATTAGATATTAATATTGGTAAGAAATTGAATAGGAAAATTATATGGAAGTGATGCAAGGGATGACACGACTGCAGTTTATACCTGCAAAAGCATCGTTAACTTGCTATCTCTGAATGGCACATGTGAATCTCCATTTGCGATGGACTCAACTACCCTCTTAAGTGCTATATTTCCTTGGTTAATCTTTGCAGTCTGCGATTTTAAGGAAATTATAAATAGATAGATTTTTTTTTTTTTTATCAAGAGACAATTCAAATTGGCAGAATAAAGGAAAAAGCACTAATTAACATAACACTCTGCACCTGCATTTTTGCTTCCAAACCATTTTGACCAGCTTGCTCAATATTTTCAGAACCTGCCATGTCAACTAGCATAAGCCGACCTCCTACTGTTGGGACATCAAGAATTATCTGCACAAGTTTGGAAACTACTACAAGTTGAAAGGGAATCCGGAGAGTAGAGGGAAGGATGCTATTATAGATTGCATAATTAACAAATTCAAACCATGCAGTGACTTCGAGAACTTCTCTCATTACAGAGTGTGCTTTTAACAATCCTTCGCTTCTCTACTTTTTGGATCTCCTTTGAAATTTTTGCTGCTTCATTCCAGAGATAAAAGTAGCATTCTTTGCCTTCTTTCCCCCACACCTCTAGTCTCACCTGCAAATGCAAATATATTGACTATTTAAGCAGGCATAACAATAGGCCATGAGGAAAAAACAGTAGCATTGATTCGGTTGTTGAGAAATCAATTTAAACACCAGCCTAATCCAGCTTTATGCAGGATAAATTATAACATCCAAATTGTGAGAACTTTCTCTCCCTAGAAAACGATGCATTGGCCATGTTTGAAGTAGCAAAACATCATGGTTTAGTTGAAAAGATCTATCTAATGTCTGCAGCATCATGCAGCTATCAGAAATATAATGGGAAAAGACATCATAGTAAAAATGAAAATTACATTATTCACCAACTCTAGAGTATCCGAAATAAACATCAAACACATGTAAAAATGGCCCCTTAATCCCTAAATTGTTTAAGGAGATAGGTAGTTTTCAGTACCAACACAAGGGCAACTAATGCAACCAAAATAACACAATAAAGTAGTGCAAAAAGTCTAAATCTTTCACTTAAAATCATTCTCTGTGCATTGTCATAATTGGCTTCCTTTTTGCAGCAATTACGTCTTCAAAATATTTTGTAAACTAAAAAGGAAAATACATTTAACAACTATCTATAGCTGTAAAATTTTTAGCTAAAAATTTTAAAGCAAAGACATGTAATCACAAGAACAGATCTTAAAAGTGCAGCAGCACAAGCCAAATTTAACCAGCCAACCTCGGGAAACAAGTAAAGAGCAAAAACTAAAGAACAGAACAAATTCTCTTTAACTCATCAAAGTTCCAAGAAATAGTAATTCTAACCTTGGATCCATTCCCTTAGGCCAACCAAAACCAAGTCCTCCACCGTTACCCGTCGACAACAGATCATAAATCTCCTCGTTATAAATCTCCAAAACAGTGACCTGAACAAAAGTCCCAATCCCAACTCTCTGTTCACTTTCACCACCATCTTCATCTCCACCCAAATATCCTTCAGACCTGTACACGATTCCCTGCTGCTTCGCCGACCCAACATAGTGTGGCTCTTGCCTGACCCGGTTGGGCCATACATCATGATAGTACATTTAGCCCCCAATTTCACGCCATTGATCCTTGACTCCACAAATTTCTTGTAAAATCCTTCAAGATCTTCCTCCTCTGATAATGATACCCCATCAAGACTAAATCACGATACCCAATGTCAGTTCGTACCCGGAGAGATTGACGGTCAGGATTGACCTGCAACGCGGAGATGGCTTTGTCCTTTCGATCCGGAAGTCCGAATCCGGCGATCACTTCCACCGGATGCTCCGTGGGCGGGGCTTCTTTGACGGCGGAGTTAGGGGTTTGGTGATGGCTTTGCGATGTTGTAGTTCAGGCGATGCCTCGACTGTGGTGTTTTCGAGTGGGTTGTCGTGGTTTGATTTGATTTAGACGAGGGCGTGTAAGCCGCTTGGTTGGATTTGGCCGAAGTGTGTGGCGCCATTGAAGTGAAACCCAGAAGAATCTTTGGGTTTTCTATCGGTATCAAGGGGGAAAGAGTGAGAAATAGGGGTTCGAATTTCGCACTATGTTCTGGGTTTGGGAGAATGAAATGAAGATGAAGTAAATGATCTGAAAATTTTCCCGGTGTTTTCCGAGAAAATCAAGATTGGTCGATAATAATGAAGCAGCTAGATTAAGAAGATAGAAGCTGAATTATAAAAGCGAACAGAAATTGAGAAATGGGCAGATAGCTGAAATTGGAAGAGAAGTGTGATGAGAATGGAAAGAGAGAGAACTGGAAAATGAAAGTGAGGTTTTGATTTATTTTTTCAAGTTTTAAATCAAAATGTAACCGTTACGAGTTCTAACGTCTATATTTTTCAAACTCGGCGCCGATGTGCCGGCGTCCCGTGAATTAATCGGTGTACACGTCATCGAAAATTGGGCCGGGCCGAGCGGACCAATTGGCCCATACACCATAATATACCGAACGTTCGAAGGAGACAAGCAATACTGGCAAATATATAATTATATATATAATTTATTTCTTGTTTGCTAATGAGTAGATGCTTTAAGCATAAACAAATAGGATCATGATTCTTTTTTAACCAGGGATTGGATATAGAAAGCTCCAATCCTCTCTACAAATATTAAAATTTTATCGTATATTATAAAGAAAAGTTTAGTTTTTAGAAAAATGTGTTCATAAAAATATCAACTAAAAAACTCCCCCTCATCCCAAATGCAAGTCAAGAATAGTCTCAATAAATGACGATGTCAAAAATTAGAGCCATTAGTTAGATTTTTATGAATTCAAGTTGAATCCGATTTAAATTTCAAGATTTGATTCGATAAAAATATTTAATAAATTAAATTTAATTATAAATATATATAATTAAAAATAAATGAACTAAATATGAATTAACTAGACAAAGATTTCAATCAAAAATTTAAATTTTTATTAAATTAATATTTGTATATAAACAATATTAATAAATTTAAACTTATAGTAATAAATTAGAAAAATCTAAAAATTCAAACACCAATATTATTGTTCGAATAGAATTTGAGGGTGCAAAATAAAAAAACACTGTTCTTATTAGATAAATTTTTTTATTAAATTTTAAATTATTTATAAAATTTAAATATAAATTAATAGATACATATTTTATAAAATTTTGAATAATATCAGATATAAATGAACTATCAAAATCAAATTCAACCTGCCTGGTTCATCCTCTAATCAAAATTATGTACTAAGAAATTACTATTACCCGATCTTATAATCGTCCGGTAAAACTAATGTGTGTATGTTCAAACTTGTAAGTACCAACTGTACCAGAAAAGGAAAATTACATTGTGTAAGCATGAATAACTTGTTGCCAAGATGTCTAATGAATCTGGCACTTTAATTAACTTCTAAACTCAAAAAATTAAAAAAAAAAAAATCCAGAAGACACAAAATTCTGATTTTTTATTTAATTAATTTTTTTTTTTAGCTTTTGGATCTTGAGTTTTGAAAGCCTCCACAAAAATCCAAAAAATACTGGCGGTCAACAACCCTCTTGGCGCTGTACGACTTCTGTAGTCACAAGTAGAAATTTTAAGTTAATGAGCAGTCTTGTCAAAATTGAATTTAATCGACGTGAGATTGATGAAATGCAGATTGACTTTCTCGTTAAAAAAAAAAAAAAAAAAAAAAAAAATTACAGTTATCTTATAAATTAATGGTACACAAAAAACTGTCCCGAGGAGGCATCCCTGTACAAATTATTAACACACTCAGAAACTATCCTCCTCGTTGACACTGCCAACTTTTCATCCCATGCCAACACAAACAAGTGCAAAATAAATGTAGTTAGTTACAAACAACAGGGTAATAGACACAGACAGATGTTGTCTGAGAAAATTTTCTGTGCATGACAATATCATGGTAGCTTTAGTAGCCTAAATTTATGAGAGGACAAAAACTCTAAGCTCGTCCCTATCGCCCCTGGTGATGCGGGTATCAGAGTCGAGATAGGTAACATCAAATTCCCCGCTTCCTGTATTTGAAGGTGGCCTTAAAGAATCTGGAATCCGAGGGATCTCCAATGGAGGTAGTTGTGACAAATTGCCCATTGTCTTTACTGTTGTCTTCTCAAAGTTAATTTTGATCTTCGAAGATCCTAATTATGTTGAACAGGATTAAAGCAAGATACAGCAAATCCCCATTTCAGTCGTTAACCATGAATAAATCAAAGAAAGAGGTCAAAAACTGAAAAGCAAGTACAAATTTGAAAAGGAACTTACCTAGGATTTCAAATTTGTGGGCTAATGTGGCCGTCAATTGAATAGGTGGAAAGGGCCACGGGGTGCCTAATTCAAGCTCCACAATGTTGTCAAAGTCTTTGCTTAAAATGTCAATCCTTTGAAACACCTGATCAAAACAAAATCCACTCATCAGGTTATATGGAATGGGAGAAATACTCCTATGGCCATGAAGAGGAACAGCAGCATCCTGTACAAAGTGAATGGTAAAGTTTATGAACCCAACAATTTACTTGTCTTGAACCGTTTAACTGAGCTACTAGTGAAAGTTTACAGCCTCCCAAGTAAGAATGTCAAAGACAAATTAAAAGGTTTCCAAATTTAGATTTAGATAAAAACAAAAAGAAAAAGGAAAAAGAAAAGAGCATTAGAACCAGGTAACTTTTGATACATCTAGGAGAAAAAAATTTGTTGTGGATCATGTACCAAGAAGCAGTTGCAAGTTCATCAGCTAATGTACACTAGATCAACTGTATTCTTGTTTCAGATTGAAGAGACTAGTCTAAAGATTAGTGGCATAATCTAAGTAAACACACTGCTTAATATTTATGTTTCGTTTCCAAAGAACCAACAAAAATCTTTCAAGGAAATTGAAAATCAAAAAACTCTTTTAGTATGCGGAGAATCAGATTTAGATTTTTTTTTCCCTGACAACATAAGCAGACACTTTATGTAATCAAAAAATTCTGTGAACTTTCCAAACAAGTTCCAATTTTATGAAAAAGTTGTACATATTTATTAACTAATATTTCCTTTTTAGTTTACAAAAGTAATTGAAAGAATTAACAAAATCATTACCTGGCCAAGGTTTATGGAAGAAGCCTTCCGATGGGGGGCCCAGGTCGACTCCCACCTAGAGTACGCGATGAGAATGCACTACTGTATATCAGTTTCCATCTTCCCTGCAGTTTATCAATAGCAACTGAGAGATCTACAGGTCCTCCAATATCTTCAAGCTCCTTGGCAGCAGAATCTGCCAGTTTCAGATCATCTTGACTTGCAGCAAGTCCCCTATTTAGCCCCGAAACAATACTCTGCAATTGATCAACATGTGCATATTAAGAAGCAAATATATCTCCAAATAAATCTATATACTGAAAACCATTATAGTGGTTTAGCTGCATACTCAAGTAAGAAAGAGGATTTTGGAAGCATATAAATGATAAGCTAATCTCCACTGTTAGGGAATACAATCTAATCAACGGTTTCATCTTTCTCTCCAGGAAGAATCAAGTATATGATTTTTCAGCATTATAAAATATTACACATTACAGTTATTTAAACATGAGTTATCTAAGCCTTGTGTTTGGCTTATTCTCCCAGGTGTTCCCACATCGGTTGTAGACAAGTTTGTGTGAATGTGTTTAAATCTCCCTTAAGTTGATGCTTTTGAGCATTATTAACCTAAGGTTGACTTCCTCTTCAAACCAAAAAAAAAAAGAGAGAACTATCTCACATATGCAAGTTATTTAAATATATAAACCGACCAATCATACAACATTCTGCAAGTTATCTTTATATCTCTCTCACTCTGCCCAACATAAAAAAGGTGGACCATAGAATGCCAATTGGCTGGACTTAGAATAAATTATTTCCAACACATTGTCCATACAAATACAAGATACCACAGTTGTCAATTGGGGTCTCAGATCCTTTTAAAAGCAAATTCATTTTTCAGAACCTTAACAGTCTACATAAGAATTCCAATATCATAAGCATATCATGCTATAATAACTGCATTACTTCTGTAGGCATCTTTATACATCTCGACCTCAACCCTATTCTCCATTGGAAAGCTAACATAAAAAACCAGAGGGAAAAAGCACTCTAGTATCTCAATACCATCCACAATTGATATCAAATTTTCTGATTAGAAGTAATTGGCACTCCATAAATTCTCTACATCACAAAAAATAAATAAAATAAAAAATAAACAAAAAAAGTAGATCTCAATCTCTCCTTCCATTACAGGTTAATGAAACTGGCAGGCCCCAAGAATTCCTCAACAATGTAATTTCACTTTGAATTCCACATTACTCTTTTTTAAATATATTTATACATATCATAATACAAGATTCACTAAAGTTTTATTTCATTCAAAAAAATTACAAACAGATTATAAATTTCAACATTCAGCAATCATGTAGTTGATTAAGGAAAATTTCAATGTGGAACAGAATCTGGCGTATATGCACCTCCATAAAAAACATCTGAAATACCTCTAGGACTTATAAGGCAACTTTCGCCTTTTCAGTTGAATTAGGATACATTACTCAGAAAGTTAATTAGGCTATCAGAAGCTGCCAAAAACATAACTTAAAAGGAAAGTAGGAAATAAAAGGCAGAGCCACCCAGAATTTCATGATTTTATTTAGCAAAGCTTTTAAGCTGTTTAATTGAACTTGTGCAATTTACTTGTACTTTTTGGAGTAGGGAAATCTAATAGTGTTCAGAAATTTAAGTTGCACATTAAATTCTTTTCCCACCAAAAAACTAAATTTCAAAAGAAAATTGGAGCCATGATTTCTTGCCAAGTTGCCAACTAACACATTATGAATCAAGTCTGCTTTTTTTTATCTTTTGTTAGCTAAATCATTATCATTTCTTCTCAATTAAATTTAAGGGTCCGAGATATGTCTTCCAGCTTTGAGCATGATATTTATTTTGGCAATGGCATAGCCCTTAAGCTACTCTTTCAACAAAAGAAAATATAAAGGCTAATTTCAATTTCTTCCCTGTTTGAAATTTTCCGCCCTCCAAAAAACTTGCATTCAAACAACCGCTTTGAGATGGTAACAACAGGCACCCAATTATAGTTGACACCCAAATTCTTCTAACTTTACAAAACAAGTATCAAGGACAAAATTCTGTAAGGAACAAATAATCAAGTATAATATTGTTGTTTTCTCTTTTGCCTTTTCCCCATGTCTTATACCTTTTGCTTTAGATTTCAAAAATAAGAATAAGCTGTCCCAGTTCCTCTGATAGTAACTTCTCAATACAGCCACTTCGATAAGAAGTGAAATGATAAGTAGCATAAGCTTGTTATCTATCAAATAAGATCATTAAAGTAATATTAGTTGTACCTTTCAGCAAAGTACAAATTTGAAGCATGTCAGGACAGATGAGCACATCTCAAAGTATGTGTACTTATTTAAGTAAATTACTCCAAAATTCTACGTTGCTCTATCTAAAAGAAGCAACTTCCATTTATACAAATTAACTTCTCTAAATAATAAAAAATAAAATTGATTTGGGTCATGTGGATGTCAACATGTTAATATCTTATCCTATCTCTATAGACCTGTTTGAAAACCTGGAGAAGCCAGAGAAAGGAATTAGTCCCCGGGATGGGAGGCTTTTTCTGGACAGGGTTTCCAGGGTAACCAGAGTCCCAGCAGCAAACAAGTTAAGGAACTCCATCACTTGAATTTCTCCTGGTATACAAAGACCAAGAACCAAATTCAACCGGCGAAATTAGCTGATCGGTGTTAAGGAAAAAAAAAAAAAAAAAGGCCAAACCAATACAACCAAATTAAATTGCATTTGAATATTTGAATCAACTCAAAGGAGACTCGCCATCTAATATACCACAAAGGAGAAAAGCAGAAGTGTACTGAAACCAAATTTAAAATCAATAATTTAACATGTGGAGGATATATATGAACACGACAGGCAGAAAAAATCATTCAACAAAAAAAGAAAGCTTATAATCAAAATTAATTGAAATCCTTACTGGGGATTTCAAATTTCAGTTAGTACCAGCAATTTGAGCTTCTGCGGCACAATTAACTCAGGCGGCGGCGAGGGTGGCGGAGGAGGGGCGTCGAGAACGGAGACATCGCTGGCGGCCATGGCGAACAAGGAAGCTCCGTCTAGGGCTCCGACGCGTCCTGACCTCTGTCCGCGGAATGTTAAGGACTGAACATCGCCGGTATTGAAACATCTCACAAGCGAAGGAGGAGGGGGGGTGTGACTTGGGTAGAGGAGAGGATTGATAGGGGAAGTGGGGGTGGACAAAAAGTGAAGCCATGGCTCTATGGTTGCTTTCAGCTGCTGGGTTTTCTTCTCAGAGCGGGGAACTGTGGGGAAAGGGAGAGAGGAAGTAGATTTTTTGATCAGCTACTGATTGGCTCGTCGAGCAGTTTCGTGGATATGCTGGAAAATTCTGTCAAAATCCAAAGGCAGAAAAGCAAGCATTGTCAAGTCACGGCAAACCGGTGGTACCAGAACAGCTTGAAGATTTCAGTGGGCCAAGCAGAGCAACAACACGTCAAAGCTCGTTAGCCGTGGTTTCCGGTGCGGGGTTGGGATCGGGTAGTTGGGTCACTTGACGATTCAAGAGCTTGTAAATCGCGTTTGACAATGTTGTCCGATCATGTTTTTATTTTTATTAAAAAAATGGAAATTGAAAACGAGAAAAAGTTTCTTAACTTCTTTGTTTAAATAAGATAGAAATAAAATTACTCTCCAAACTATGAATTTCTTCGCTTAAATTTTTCTCAGAAAGTCTAAAATTTTAAAATTTTTCAATTAAAATTTTATTTTTAATTAATTAAATGGTAAATCAAAAGTATTTTTATTATTTTTATTTTTAAAAATTGAAAACAGTAAATTAAGTCAAACATTTTTTCTAAAATTTGAATATAAAATTATTTTCAAAAATTAGAAATAAGAAATCAAATAAAAAAAATTTCGGAAACCAAATACCCTTTTTTTAAAAAAAAAAGGTTAGTAACAAGTCATAGCATTTTTATTAAAAAAAATTGAAATTTTTTAAACAAAAACTGTTTATGTGTTCATGTAAGTGAGTTAGGTCATTTCATAACATCATAACTGGAGTATATATAAAAAAGAAATGAGAAAATGTTGAACCCCAGGTGAACAACATGGGCAACAAATAGTGAAATGGAGAGGTTGTTTAGTTAATTTTGAAAAGTTGGGCTTTCTAATAAAAGAATATTTATTATAGGGCTGTCAGTGATTCAAATTTGGATAAAA